TCTTCTTCTTCTTCTTCTTCTTCTTCTTCTTCTTCTTCTTCTTCTTCATTTTCTTCCTCTTCCTCATCCTCTTCTTCTCCCTCCTTTTCTTCTCTTATTATTCTTCCTCCTCTTCTTCCTCCTCCTCCTACTATCCTCCTCTCTAAGTCCTCATTCAGAGACACTATACTGATGCTGGCCATTGGTGGGCCTAGTCATACACCCTGGCACCATGCCCTAACTGCCCCTTTCCATTCCTTCCTTCCTGAGGCATTCTCTCCCATCCACTATAGGAAGAACAATCATCAGCTCAAGAAAGATGAACTTGAATTGCTTTTATCCTAATAAGTTTGATACCGAGCAGGACAGATAGGCTCTGGAAATAAACTCTGGTCTGAAATTTCCTTCTATCTTGATTTCGAAGTGGATTACAACAGTTACCTCCTTAAAGTGTCGGAGTGTCTCCCTCTCCTGCCACAATTAGCAGAAGGGATGCTGACCCCACTGAAGCTGGCACCCTGGCCTTTTGCGGAGGAGGTTTCATCGCACCTACCTCATAAGCCCTCAAGTCAGAAGCAAACCCCCAGACACTGTCTTTTCTCAAGGAGAACATTCTCACTCTCACACACGGTTTTTAGTGGGAGGGAAGCCCGTTAGCACATTACAGCCACCGAAAATTGCAAGTGCAAATTAAGGAGAAAAACAACGAGAGAGGAGGAAAAGGCAGTATTAAGTTGTATTAGGAACACTTTCCTTTGGACTTCCCAGCTAGAAGGAGCCAGATTACTTGGTGTGCCTCCATGTCTCTGGACAAAACAACACTTGAACCTCAAGGTCCTGGCTATGACAAATCACTGTGTTGTTACCAATCAGAGGAAACAGGATGCCCTAACTAGGCAACTTGTTTGAGTGTTCATCATCTGTTTTAGTTACCTAAGTACCTGACAAGAGGAGCGGAGGGACAGAAAGGCTTATTTTGCCTCACAGGTCAAGGGAACAGTAATCATGGAAGCTAAGTCTGGTAGCAGTAGTTTGAGCTGGTTACTCCCACTGCATTGCAGTCGTCAGGAAGCAGAGAGCAGTGAATGCTTGTGTAAGCTAGCTTCTTCCTTTTGACACAACCCAGGATCCTAGTTCAGGGAAGCTGCCTTTTGTGTGGCCTCTCCTGCTTCAGTTAGATGATTCCCTCACAGGCATGTCCAAAGATTTATGTAATCTAAATAATCTCTTGGGTGTGCCCAGAAGCTTGTCTCCTCTGAGATTCCAGATCCTCGAAAGTTGACAATCAAAACCCACCATCATAACATTCTTTTAGCTGGAAAATCCTCCCTTAGCATCATTTGCTGAGCTCTTAAATTCCTAAGTACAGCAGCTCCCAGGCTAGCTGATGAAGAGGTTGGATCAAAAAAAAAAAAAAAAAACATGGCCATTTGCAATCTCCGCTAGACAGCATCACTGACCCATGCAGACAGGCTGCACACATGAAGTCATGATATGACCTCTTGTCTGCCAGCGCTGCTAGCCACATTCTCTCTCATGGAGAAAGATGAATAAAGGTGATCATATTTTTCCTTTTTCAAACGAGCATAGATAACAGTTGGCATTCTTGCATGGCCCCCTCTGTTACACAGCACAGGATCTCCCCCCATGTCTTTCTGGGAAGGCAAATTCATGTTTAGATGAATTGCTCAATGCTTGTGAGTAAGTAAAACATGCTACCTACTTCACATGCTGCGTACCGTGAAAGAGACCTGTAAAAAGGGGGTCCCTGGATACCAGAAAAGCCATCAAAGCTGTCAGGTGGAGGCTGCTGAAGAATGCTCCTGAAAGGGAGTGCCA